TTTTTTTTCTACTGCAGATGAAATGCCTTTGAGCTAATTTTTAAACAGTTGTCAGCAATATAAAAATCTAAAAAATTCAGGTGAAAGGGGCTGATGTTGCATTGTCTTTGAGCAAAAGTGAGATCTGTGCAGGTCCCATTGGCTCGATCAGCCCGTGTGACAGCATTCGCAGGATGCTTTTATGTGTGACGGGTGACAAACAGATCGTTGCAACACTCAAAGTACGCAGAGACACAAATAAGAACTGATAGTTTGGGGTGGGTGGAGTGGATAAACTCAACGGATAATGCATTTTTAGAACATTGCTGCTGTTCAGAATTCCACCGGCGCAGAAGTAGGGTGTGAGCTGGTGCACGCGTTTTGTCTCTTGTCCATCTGCCAACGCGTTGGTTTTTCTGTAATTCTGACCACAAGCAATCTTAACAAAATGCACGTGTTTTAGAGAAAACGCCTTTTTTTTTTTTTCCCCTTAGTTTTAGAAAAGCTTCCCAAAACAAGGAAGGTGTCAGCTAGTTCTGAAATGCATGAAGTTGTAGACTTACTGACTTAACACTGGGACATCAAAACGTTGGAGCTGTGGTGTGCCATCCTGCGGCGTGTCTGCGTAGGGCTGGACGGAGTAGAGCCTTTGGAACACCTACGTAACTGCGAGCGTGTGGATAAACCCATGGAAATCAGTTATTCATCTGCTTAAAGCTGTGCCTGTGTTCTGATACTGTGGATTGAGACATAGAGGGGAGCGGGAGGATTCTTTTTTTTTTTTTTGCTAACCATTTATCTTTGTGATAGCGTGTGCCAGCAGGTTATGTCTATAGGTTGCTTTTTGGTTTTAAGGAGAACTTTCTGTAGTTTTCAAAGTACGTTGTATTCTAAAGAAAATTTAGAGCCCTCTTTTTAGGCATCCTTGTTCTGCATACAACATGATTAATATTAATTTTAAACTTGTATTTGATAAAACATAGACTCAGTTTTGTCTGAAAATGTATTACAATTTATTTCTGCCATTTTTGTGTAAAATTTACAGAAACAGTGTTACATCGTGCGCTCCAAAGGTAATGTCTCATTCCTCTAAGGCTGTGTCCTTTCCTTTTCTTCTTTCTGTTTTTATCTTTCTTGTTTTCTGATCATATTGTTATGTGCATTGAATCCTTTGTTAGGACGGAGGTTCTTGGTGGGGGGTGGGTGATGACATGCTGTTATCAAAAAGATGCTTTTCTCTTCAGCAGTATCTTAAACCAATTTCCTTTAAACTTGAGTGAAGAAAGGTATTTGTCCTTCTGTAAATAACTTGGGTAATAGTATATATTATAAAGCAGATTTTGAATATTTTTAATTGTCTAACTTCTGTATAGAAATGTTTTAATGAAAATACTATTTTTGGGGGAGGAACTCATCATAATTCTAGGTTTCTGTAGTGAAAAGTAGGTTTTCTCCTGATGAAGTTTTGAAGCCGAAGCAAATGTACAAGGATCGAAAGGCAGAACATGTGCAGAGAACTTGGAAGTGGTCTCTTAGGGTGCACGTTTGCAGAATAGACGTCACCTCTTACAACCCTCGCGAGGAGACGAGCAAACTTTCGAAAGCACAATGAGGAGTGGGGTTTCTGCTTCCCACGGGAAGCCTGCGAAGTCAACCTCGCTCCTTGCGGTGCATCTGGAAAGTTTGCCTTTTGGGATGATGCTTTTCCTTGTGTCTTCCCTTCCCGAACAAGTAAATGAGACAAACCCTGTCCATTTTATCAACCCAACGGCCAGTGTACTGGAAGAAACCTCTAGATGGGTTTTTAAGTATCCCTTTCCTGGCTCCTTGAGGACTAGCCCGAAGGAAGGACGTGCTTAGGCAGTTGGCTCAATTGGCCTTCGAGTGCCGCTGCTGCGTGGCAGGAGCGCATTACTGCAGCACTCCTGTCAAGTGTGTTTGAACCTGTTGCTCCTTCCAGCTAATTCTAAGCACCAAGTCTTGTTTACTACTGGTTTCATTGAAATAACACACTTCTGAGTTTTCACTACTTAAAATCAGCTTTATAATTAAGCCCGCTTAAGCTGTTTACTGAACAGCAGGTTGTTAACTTTTCCTTACCTTCAAATCGGTAAGAATTTTTCTGTTTCTAGCAATATGCCCTATTAGCGAGGGGAAAACAAAGAGCACCCCCTACTATTGAGAAATTAATTCTTGTCTTGATAGCATTTCGTTCCCTGTGTTAAACCAAAGGAGTTTTCTGTATTATTTAGTAGTGCAGAAATGGAAGGTCTGGTTGGCATTTGGAGCTTAAAAAAGAATAAAAATATCCAGAGTGTGATCACTCCTGAGTCACAGTTCCATCTTCTGGCGTGCGTTCCAGCACTGCAGCGTTTTGTGACCTAATAGTTCAAAACTCAAGTGAAGAGATGTGCTTAAAAAGTAGGGGTTTACTGTAGTGGTGAAAAACTTCACTGCATCCTACCACATCTGTGTTATTGTAAATGCAGAAAAATCATCTGTGATTGATTTATTTCTTTTGAGAGAGGGAAGTTCATTGGAAGAAGGCTGGAAAGGCAAAATAGCGCCTGGGGAGCAGAGAGGAAGAATGTTTTCAAATATTAAAATAACTTCCAATGCAAATTGACTTCTATTTTTTTTTTTTTCCTTTCGCAATCTTTAAGATTAATGCAAGTTCTGATGTTCCTTGCTGAATTTGCCTGCCTAGCGAGGTTCCCTGCGCAGCATTATGCAGGCATACTTGTAATTTCTGTCCTTTTTTTTGGAGAAGGCTATAGAGAGATACCAGGTCGTAGCATTATCCTCGGAAAGGTGAATCTTAACATATAATTATATATGCACAGCCTTGAATATTCCAATTTGAAGTCAACTCAGCAATTGGGCACAACTCCAGATGCCTTTTAGGATAGTGCACAAAATGTCACGCAGTCGCATTTCGCCTTCAGGCGAGAAGCAGCTGAATGTGGGGAGCTGAAAAACAGGGAGAAAGTCGGCGTTTATCACAGCAATAAACTGGAGGGGGTAGCGTGTGACGTCTGCTTGCATTGTGCTGCTGTTGCTTTGGGGAAGCCTGTGAGCTTAGAAGCTGAAGTGCTGTTGTCGTGGTGGTCAAAGACAGCAGTGTGGCTCGGTGTTCTGAGTCAGGAGGCCAACCAAGCACATGGGGAGCAAGAAAGTAGCAGAGGGGGGCGAAGCAAAGAATCTACCCCATATGATAACTCTTCTTTTTTTAAATAAACTGGCTTTAAAGTGACCTGGTAATGTAAGAACCTAACAATTTGAGAAACATTTAAATTCCGTTAGTTACCCCGTACTTATTGCCAAATTGTATCTTCTCTGTGGTTAAAAGTGTTAGTGAGTTACAGTCGAATGCGTATTTGTAGATATGATTTGAAAATTATTGCATGCATAAAATTATACTTGGTATAACTTTCAAGTTTGCACAGTTAGCTAAACTTCAAACAAATTTCCTGTAAAAGTTTAAAAAAGCCTGTGTGTATAAGCTGTAAAGTTTTAATTCCATGTATGTAACTGGATTTTTTCACTATTTTTTTTGTCTTACCTTCACCTCTTTTTTTTTTTTTTTTCCCCCTGTGCCATTCTCCTCTTTTACTTCATCTGAATCCCTGATTACTCTTTTTTTTACCATCTTACCATCTTGCTGTTTGTCAAACAGAACAACAAAACCTGCTCCTCATCTCGATGGGTAAGAACCTTTTTATAGTTTCTCCAATGATGGCCAGAATTTGAGGGTTGTAAGTCTTCACGTGTTACATTGAAAGTAGACTACAATGGGGAAACAAATTCTGTGTTCTGTGAAAGATTATACAATAGAACAAGTTGGAAAACAAGAGTTTGAGTTCTATAAAAATTTGAAGTTGCAACTTCTTTCCTGAAGCTGGTCGATAACTTGGAAGGTCTTAAATCCCAGCGTTATTTCTTTAAAACTGGTTGCTGCCCTCAGTCCATAAATCAGTGAGCTGAAACGCCAGGTTTAATATATTTGGATAGTACTCTTTTGTGGCACGTTTTTATCCCCAAAATATATTAGTTCCTGAAAGTATACGTTCTGGGGGAAAGGGAAGAAGGACAGAGAAATGTGGTATGGTGGAAAAAACCCGGGGATTCCTTGATTATAACTGTCCCTGCAATGCCAGTGGCAATTTGTACGCTGCTGCTCTGGGGAAAACTGCACTTCTTTGTCATCTTTATGTACGGACTTTTGATGTCTGTGCTGCACGAAATAGAAGGATGGATTAGAAATGATGATCTTTTTGCCCTGCCCATGTGGAAGAGAGTAGAATGATAGCAACTGTTTCTCTGGGATTGAACCAGAGCGGGCCTCTCTCTCGTGTTGCATGAGATCTTGGCATTGTTGTAAATGTAAAAGTAATAAAAATCTTATTTTTGAGTTTAATACATTTTTAAGAGCTGAGTGTTTCTATTTCAGAATGACTTTTAAAATCTGAAATAAATTTAAAAATAATTGCAGCACTCTATAAACGTTTGTACTTTCCAAATATTTTCTTTCTGCAGTGTACATGTTGTCTTTGGACTGGTTATTTCTGGGTTTGAAGTGATAGAACAAATAGAAAATCTGAAAACCGATACTGCAAGTAGGCCCTATGCAGATGTACGAGTGATTGACTGTGGGGTGCTTGTTACAAAATCAGCAAAAGATGGTAAGCGTACAGAGACCTGAAGTTAATGCAATGTTGACATTGTTTTCAGAGAGTGTAAGAATTGTGCCGATGTCTAAAAATCATTGTGGTCAATCTCTAGAACTTTAGTTGATTCTTTCAAAAACTTCTTTAAAACTTAAGTCTTGGTGTAGGTCAGGAGGATGCAGCAAGGTTTTCTGACCTAAACCTTTGTGACTTGGAAAACATATGTCTGCTTCCTTTTCTCCTTGATTAACGTTTGAGGTGAATGTAACATACTAAAAAAGGAGTTGGAACGTATTTTTCGGAGTTTGAAAGATGGAGACACAAACATAAGCTTTTCTTGAAGCTGAATTTTCAGCAGTTACCGAAGGTTTATTTTAAGATCATGTGATGTTAATGTATCTGGTATATGTAGTCAACATCACTTTCCTTTTCATGAGAACTCATAGAGAATAAATTAACTTAAATGTATGTTTGGGCAGTTGCTGTAAAGTAGTGGAGTGTTCTAAGTTTGTGTTTTCTACTTCATTTTTGAGTTTCCTTAAGAATAATGGGATTATTTGTGTCCTTTAGAGAAAGGCAAAAGGATAGATTGTGTAAAAGTATGAGGATGCAGAAAGGAGAGGAATCGGCCAGACACGACTGAGGCTGCGACTCCCTTTTTCCTAAACTTTGTTTTGTAACCTGTGTGTTGCTTTCTAAAGAAACTATATTTTCTTTTACAATAAATGGCCCTTGCTTATCTGTGTATTCTATTCTACCCCAAAAGGTGTGAATTCAGTGTTAAACCTAAAATATATTTCCAAAGGAGAAAAGGAGGGGAGCCCTCTTTCTTAAAATTATACTTATTCCTCAGCCTTTCTTTATATTAGCTTGGCAGAAGTTAAGGTTCAACTTCAGTTATAAACTTACTGTGTGTTAATTTAAAAATGTTTTGGCTTTGCAGTGATTTGTTGTCTTCTGTGCTGGAAGTTCTTACAGTTCACCTCATAGCAGCTAAAGGAATTTTGTACAACTATCGTCGGAAACTATTTCTATCATTTTATTGATGTGGGTTTAGATGGACACATTTATAGGTCTTTTAAGGGGCTTCAGTGCAACTCATTGTGAAAGTCACAGAGCTCCTGTGAAGCAGTGTGTGTGTATTGGTACATACAGAAAATGGTATATTTTGTGCTGTATATAGACACACTACATACACGTACACACTGTAAATTTAAAATATCTGTTTTAAGCTTTGGAGAAGAAGAAAAAAGTATGTTCTGACTCAGAAGCTTCAGACTCCTCCTCCAGTGCATCAAGCTCTTCAGAAACGTCATCTGAAAGTGAAGCTGAAAATGAAAGAAGCAGAAGAAGAAAGCGTAAAAGAAGAGCTAAAACCAAGCAATCAAGAAAACGAAGAAAGGAAGAAAGGAAGAAAGAGGATCCAAGGTGCAAGCGAACCTCGAACCAAAGACGGTGACTATTCTCTTAAACTTGAGAATTTCAGAGAAATCTGAGAAATTCTGCTTTGTTTTCATGAAGTACTTAAGCAACGAGTATGAAAATGCTTTTATTTGAGTTTGGATTTTGATGCTTGATTTTATAAAGAATGAAAATGAACCAACCAAACAAAAAAACCCCATAAAGCTGAGCTGCTTGAGTAAATTTTTCCATGAAAGCGTTTGAGATCTTTGTAGATAGAAGCTAGAGCCACTTTGAAATGAGTGAGTCTCAGCATGCTGAAGTATTTGGGACTCAGTATACCTGTGTTAAAGTAGACATTAGGCAAATAATAGATCTTTGATACATATTTGCTTATATTTTTAAAATATTTCATGAAAAGTGGCCAATTAAAAGCAAAATAATTTGCTGTAAAGTGGGAACAGAACTTTCTTTCCAACAGTAATGCACTATCCTTCCTATAGCCTAAAAATGGGTCATTAGTGAAACCTGTTTTGGTGGTTAAGCCATCTTAAAGTTGGATGTGTGATACGGACTTGTTCTGGAATTCGCTTTGAAAAGTGGTGTTTATCGGTTGACGGTTAATTTTGATTTATCAACTTATTTTTCCCCCTAGCAGCCTTTCTGACAAGAGTGATATAACAGAAAAAGCAGTCGATGTTAGCACAAAGAGGGACAAACCTGTGGTACGTCCTGAAGAAATTCCCCCAGTGCCTGAAAATAGATTTTTGCTGAGAAGAGATGTGCCTGTTGTCAATGTAGAACCTGAACCGTAAGGAACACTGAGCTTTCTTCTTGGGTTGACTTGGTGGAAGCTATGCATAAAATCTTCCTGCTAATATCCTGTTCCTAATACCGATAGCAAATGACGGCTGTAGTGTCAGTATTTCTAAATGAGGTAATTTAATTGTCCTTTTTTACAGTTTTCCTTGTAAACAACCTGTGTCAGGGTTTTTCAGGGACGTCTAATGAGTCGGTTTCGTTGATCCTTGAGGATCACGTGTGTTATGACCTTGCACTCAATTAGAGATGGCGCGAAAAACGTGCGTGAATAATTCCAGAAGGATTTTTGCAATGTCAGCCACAGCGAACACTTGATTTCAAGGGAGACTTGAGCTTGGGAGAGGTGATATTTTCATCTTTCTTTGGAGATGAAACTGGTTCGAAATTAAAATCAGTCAACTAGAATTTTGACCTATCTGTGATTTTTAAGAATATGAGAAAATACTCTTCTTTGTATCAAAAGGAAGTCCTGAGTTCACAGGTTACTTTCAATCTGTGTCTTTCACCGCAGCTAAATTGCAGTTACGTTCTTTTCCTATCAAATGTCTTTGCTTTTGGGCTCAGGTGAGCCAATACGTTACATCGCCAGATATCTCTCAAATCAGTTTGTTTGGTTTTAGTTTCAGTTAATGGTACAGTCTCCTGTAAGCCTTTTCTTGAAACGTTACTCAGGTTTCCAAAGCCTTAGTCGCTGCTTTTTTCAAGGATACTACACAAACTGTAAAAAAGAAGTGCTGAATTACCTCCAAAGGAAGGCTGTAGGGCCTGTAGACCGTTACGAATTGCCGTAACTCCCTATGCTGAGACGTTGTTGTGTAACTGCCGAGATCCTACAACTCTTCTGGCCGCGTTGTCTTGGTGATTTGGGCACCAAACGCAAGTTAACCTCTTCAGAAAAGCCACAAACCTCTTTAACAGAGTACTTTGCAAGTTTGTTGTTAGCATTGCTTACACAAACAAGCGCGTGGTGGTTTGCCTTTCCTTGCAGAACTGTGTGTGTCTTGCTTTATTTCTTGGCGAATTCACTGAATTCTTAGTTGCGACATCTCAAAATAAATGAATAAGATTAATATTTTGCTTGATTAGCTTAATATTAGTTGGGTGTGGTTTTTTGTTGTGGGTTTTTTTCCCATTTAAGCTCATATTTCATTAATTTATGTAGGAAGCTTCTTGATGCTGCGCCAGTTCTGGCTGACCAGAAACCATCGGTCTCCAAATCTGGACGAAAAATCAAAGGAAGAGGCACAATAGTATGTAATAATTTTTAATTTTTTTTTTCTTTCCTCTCAGCCAAGAGTATCTTCTCTGACTTTGAGCTTTGAATTTCCTTGGGTGCTTTGTGTGACGCTTAAACTATTGTTGACATGTTGTAGATTTGCAGATTATTGTTGTCAGGTAGTTAATTTATAATGCCTTTTTTTTCCCCATCCTTCTCGTTACTGTCTTTTAACTTAAAGACTGTTAGGGAAAACAAATGCTTGCTCCTCAGCTACGGGAAGTCTTCATGAGAATGAAATTATTTCTTTTTAAAGATTGAAATTAACTCGGCCAGATTCATCCCACGTGAGCCACAAGATCTAAAGTAATGAGAAATGGCAAGAGCTTTTACTCCTCTCCACTCGTTGGATTTCCTTGCTGTCCCTGTTAAGCATTAGGACCGCCGTGCAGAACAGTGAACAAAGCTGTTCTGCAGTGCCCGCAGCGTGCACAGCCCTTTCGGATGTGTGCTGCTTGTCTTCCCGAGTTCTGCTGTTTGCATCTTCTGATGGTTGTGCATACGTTGCTGAGAAACGACAGTTTTGGTGGCAACTTTGGCAGAATCCCTTAAGTCGTTCTGCTTTTTGACATTTCCAGTCAACCCTTTGTTTCCTTTCTTTAGCTGCTTGATGTAGTTTGTCAGATTTCATCAGCTGTCTTGGCTGAGGTCAAGTCTCACTTCACACGTTGACGCTGCACGGGCAAGAAAGTACTTGTTAGCAGTGCTGGTAGGGAAGCATTTTTACAGATGCACAGGCTTGGTCCTTTTTTCCCTTCCCCACCTTCCTCTCTGAAGACTGACACTGTTTGTGCAGGTTTAATTTCTGCTTCAGATCTTTGGTATCCTAAAGACTTTTGCCTTAGTTGTGCAAAGTTTTCTTGTGTCTTCTCTAACAACCCACAACGCAGCGCCCCAAACACTGCGCAGCTACGCTGCTGGTTTTCAGTCAGCAGAAGAGGAAGGAGAAGTCAGAAAAGCTTTTGTAATTGTGCATTTGATTCTGGTGCATTTCAGGTTGTAGCACACTGTGACTGAGCGTGTTCTCCTCCTTCAGAATGTTTTCCTGGGTCGATTCGGCAGGCAGCGTTTTGGTAACCAAAAAAACCAAACCAAGGTTTGCTCCTGCCAGGTTTTGGTTTTTTTTTTTTTTGCAAGTGAAAGTCCTCAAAGGAACCTCCAAACTTTGTATCTAGAGATCAGTGCCTGTGTAGCTGAAGACACTTCACTAGAGTGGTCTTAACAGACAACTCTGAGCATGATTTTCTTACATGGTAGCCACTGGACTTGGGAAGTACTTTTCTACTGAGCCCCATGATGCAATTATTTATTTTAAGCCACCAAATTAACAGCTTCGATGCCTGCAGCGTGGACCAAGGTATTGTAGTGTTTGAGAACCAACCCTTATTAGCTTAAAGCTGAGTGGAATTGGCTTTTGCCAGGGATTTGGGCGTCTGAGTTTTGTTTTTCATAACTTTGGCACCGTTTTGGCAAAATTTAAGAATGAAACCCAGTAATATCAGAAATAATGTAGAGCTGGCAATTTAAAAACACTTTTCTGCCATCTCTAATAGTCTGATTAGCAGCAGTTTCCATCCAGGGTGAGCTTGTTTGATGTTTTTCAAAATGCTCTTTTGTAGTTTTGGATCCTCTTAGTTTCTGAGAAACTCTTGAGAGAATTAAGCAGGTCCATGAAACCTTTGCAACCTATTGTATGCCGTTCATCTGTAACAGCTTTGTTTTAAGTAGTCGTTGCTTCCTCTCAAAGGGTCGGGAAGATCCAAATCTTCATGGCAGGTTTGGGTTTTTTATATAAACAGGGTGTCTTAAAGATTTCTGCCTGTAATTAACTGAATAAACCAATACTTGCCACTTTCTGGTTTTATTGGAGGGG